GTGACCTACCCACTCCTTGCAGCCTTCGCTCGCACCTTCTCCAACACCCGGGCATCCCTGCACCACCTGCTCGGGCAGCCCCGGCGGGCTCTGGGACTTGCTGTGCGCGCTGACAGGAAGGCAAGCTCCAAACCCGTGCCTGGCAGACGGGCTGTCGCGGCTGCACCACCAGCAGGAGGAGGCGGAGAAGAAACTATTTCGCCCACCCAAACCCCATTCTGCGGGTGCTTCGCCGCTGCCGCTTCTACTGCCGCCGATCCGCGTTCGCGGGTTCGAACACCGCAGCGGCGGGGACGCTGGGTCCAGCGGGCGCCGGGAGGAGAACACCAGCGGAGACCTGAACTCGTGTGCCCCGCTCACCAGCATCTCTTGCCCACTCGTTCCTTCCCCAGCCCTTTAGAGAGAGGACCATGATTTGGAAACGCAGCGCGGTTCTCCGCTTCTACAGTGTCTGCGGGCTCCTGCTACAAGGTAATCCCCGCCCCGCCGCGGGGAGCATCAACTTGACGCCCATTCCCCATCATCATCATTCCACCCCATATTTCCACTCTTCCCTTTACGGTCCCCCAGTCCTCGGCGATTTCCACCCCCTCCCCCTACTCCCTGGTGCGGCAGGGGGCAGTGGCAGTTTGCACCAGCCCCTGGAATCTCTAGCGCTGGCTCAGCCCTGCCCTCCCAGCAGTCAGCCCCTTACGCGGCACCTTTCGCCTTTTCATTCACCTGGGCTTCCTTCATCTCACTCCATCCCTGCCAGCATCCCCCACCCACCCCACGCCTTTTGGCTGGCAACTTGTGTCTCTCTGAACATTCCACCCTCCCGACAACCCCCACCAGCCACCTCCCACATCACACTCATGACCGACCCTCTCCATCTCTTGTCGCTTTAACCTCCCCCCTTTCCGGGTCGCCTTTCCCTTTCCCCCTCTTCCCACCAGCATCGTATCTGTGTGTCTTTAAAAAGTGTGTGAGAGCCTGGGAGCGAGCTACCGAGACGGCGAGAACAGCAGCAGCGGCAGCACCGTGCGCATTGCAATAACATCCCCGGGGGGAAATGTGTTGTGAGACGTGTCATTCACCTAGAAAGAGAGAGGAGACTCTGTCTGGGATTAAAAAAAAGAAAGAAAGAAAGAAAGAATAAAAAGGGGAGGAAAGAAAAGAAGAAATGAATGAATGAACCAAGAAATAAAAAAAGAGGGAGAAAAGAGAAAAAATTAAGGGATGCAAGCTCACTTTAATAACACACTGACTTTTTATTATTCAGTCTGTGTCATTTCATTTGTTTTAATGCAGAGAAATCTATGTTCCCAAGCAGTTACTTTATTGCTAGGGGATTTTCGCTTAGATTCTCTACCTCTCCGTCTTGTTGCTGCCGCTTCTTTCCGTAATTAGTATTATCCTTTCACGTGAAATGTAAGAACCCCTGTGACCGCAGTGGAGGGAAACAGCACAAAACACTGTTATTATGCAAATCGCTGGGTTTGGATGTGGGGTGGCTGGGGAATCTGGGTTCACTTTTCCCCAGACCCTCTCTTTTGAAGAAGGGAGGAGGGGGCTGCGTGGAATGAAAGGATGATGCTGGTTATGGAATAAATGGCAATGCATGAAGTGGAGTGCATGGGGAGAGGACACTTGGGTGGTGGAGGCGGCGGAGGCGACGTGCTGGGCTGGGTGGGCAGGGGCTGTACGCCAGAAGATTGTTGCTTTGAAGGGAGTAGTGTAGAGATGTGGTCTGAGTGTAGCTATAGGGAGATGGATGAGAAACGGTTGATAGAATATTTTTAAGCTAGGGGACTGTTGATTTCTTGATAAAGCTTTGCTCACCTCTAACCCTCTGTCATCATTTGGGGTATTTACAAGAAAGATAAGTTGATCAAATTTATTTTTCCCTGGGTAAAAGGCCTCTGAAAGTAAGACACAGTAGACCCACAGGCGTGCAAAACCCAGTTGGCCTTTGGAGAATTTAAATGAGGTCAGTGAACCATCTTTCAGCAAGTTCTTGGAATGCATCCTCTATCCTGCCCTCCTCCGGGATATAGACTGGGGACCGGATTTTATTTATGCGTATTTATGAATGTGAAGGAAGGGGCAGCGGGCAGAATTTTCCTGAATTAACTCGCAGACTTTGCAGAGATACTTCTTATAATATCTTTGTGGCAATTTTGTTTTTTACGTTGCGTGTAAATTCAGATCTGTCATATGTGCCAGAATCCCCGTGAAGGCAGCCGGCACCTTCTCCCTGCTTACACCACCTCGTCCCATTTCTCACCGCTCACACCCCCATCCTCGCATAAGTAACCGGGGTGGCTGACACATTACTTGGGTTCTTAATCGGTGCTGAAACAGTCTCACAGAGACCCTACTTCACCTCTCAGTAACTTGCATTTCTCAGCTCTGCTCGGTCTGTGTGTGTGTGTGAGAGAGAGAGAGAGTGTGTGTGTGTGTATATGTGCGTGCGCGCGCGCGCTCCAGCATGCGCCGGGTAGGGGGAGTGTGATGGGAGGAAATCATTTAATTTGGTGATTGCGATGAAAATTCAACACCGCTAGATGTGTTTTTCCTGCCAATCTATGTGTGATGGCCCCGGCTGGTCATTGCACACACTGCTGGGCTGGCGCGAGCTTATTTATTATAGGGCATGTGGCCCTGGACTGCACTTGGGGTCGCCTCGTCTCTTCTTTCAACATTTCCCTGTGAATCGTCTATTCAGTGCAGTGCCAAATACCAGTTTGCTGGTGTGGCTTTCTCAGCCTGGAGAGACTCTCTGCGCAGAGAGACTCTAGCAGCAGCATTCAGGCATGGGTTTATTTTATTGAGTGTATAAACCAATGATTAAGACAGTACTGCTTTCCAAAGCACACTGGGGGGTGGGGGGAGGAAGGGGTGTGAAATGCACCACTGTGACCAGCAGCAGCACCAGCATTAGGTCCAAATAAATAAATAAACAAGCATCCTGTACAGCTACCAGGGAAAGAGCACCCGACCAACCATGAGTATCTACTTAGGAGCATCTTAGATTAGGCCATTTTAATACGCATACACTAAAAGAAGAGGTTTAAAAAAAAAAAAGAAGGGGGCACAGAGCACCGCTGGATTGTCTTCTCATGTTTATGGCTGCCTCGCATTTATCAAACCCTGTGCACAGACACATCGCACTTTGTTGATATTGTCAGTTTTTGCTCAGACAAATTGCTCATGCCTTCCTTGTCTTAGTCTTGGCTGAAAACATTGCTTCGGGGTTCAGATTTATGTTTCTTCCACTACTTTACTGTTTTAGTAGGACTTGGTTAGGTTGTAAAATGAAGGCTTTATTTTCAGCACATGGATTAATAGATACTTAGCAGATATTTTTCTATGCCCAGGGAGAGAAGGGTTGTGGGGCGGGGGGCCGGGGAATAGTGAGGGACTGATTTTGGCTAGGGGAAGTCTGCTCAGCCTGCAAGGAGTTATGACTAGGCAAATACTATAGTCAGTCAATAGCTTCGTATTTTTAGCTGTATCAGCACTATAGTAGTATTGTGACTTAAGTAATAATAATCAATTTATCTCTGGTGTTACTATTCCTTTTCTAGCAGGATGCATTGTTTTAGACAGGAAATCTCCTTTGAACATATTTGCTCTACGTTTTAATTCAGCCTATTTTATATTGTTACCAATATTTTTTACTTCTTCGGGGAAGCAAAATCAATTTTCTGGCTTGTTAGCACATGGAATGATAAGCCAGTGGTGAGAATCAAGTCAATGGTAAAGGGAGTAAAAATAAAAACACAAAACAAAAACAAAATGCAATATGAGGCCTACCTGATTCAATTCTGTAACACCTGACTGTCCTCATGGGGATTTCAGGCAATGAATAGTTAGACAGAAAATAAGTACTTCTGAACAGACTTCTGTTTCTAACTTAAGTATAACTTGTAACATAGACTACTTAGATAACACAGTTTGATTCAGTGTTAAGGTATAAGGCAACTTAGCTTATTTTTTCCCCCATCATAGAAAAAGGGAAATCTGGAGTACAGGTAGGGGATGCTTTAGAGAAATGATTTTTTTTGTTGTTTGTTTGTTTAAATGAGGAGTGAAAAAGCTTGCCACCTTTAAGAGGTCTGTAACTAAGACCTCTCTTGGCAAAAGAGGCAATCCAGGTTCAATTGCTAACCAGTGCTGGAGCTTTATCCCTTTCTGTGCCTGAGGGGGCACTGCAAAGATAAAGGGTCTCCCATGCAGCACAGGAAACAATCCCAGAAAGGGCAAGAGAAAGACAGGCAAAATACAACGGGGAATAGACATGCATACAGAGACCAGATTTTGTGGAGAACCTCATTTTTGTGCGTGGGGAATTGGTCTTATATAAAAACACATCCAGCACATACACTGGGGCTTTAGTCTTTTCTGCAATGGAATTCTGATTACTTATTAGTTACATTTAGTAAGAAAGATACTTAAAGCTCCATTGGGCATGCATATGACTTGCCTCACTATGTGTCATGAACCTCACCTTGTGTTTTTAGAAAGCACACTGTAATATGTGCTTATATACACCATCTAATGCCTATGCTTTCTAAAAGGCCCGTCTGTCCAGTTCTTTTACTCCCATCTATTGTAGCTTGTCAAGCTCATTTCTTAAGCTGAGTGCGATTCTTGGGATCTACTTACTCTTTCCTTTTATGATGATCAGAAACTTTGAAAAGTTTCTGGACGTAAGAGCCAATGACCATGACTTAAATAGCCAAACACCAGACGATTAGTAACTGAGAAAATCTCCCCTGCAAGGATGAGGAGTTTCTCGACTAATTTTGTATCAAGATATGGAAACATACTTCATTGTATTTTCCCTTTCTATAACTATGAGAACTCTAGAAACGAAAAATAACCAAGCTAACCATCAACGGGGATAAGCATTTCTGTGTCCTCCACTGGAAGAACAGATGCTAGAAAGCTATTTGTCCTACATTTAAATGGTGAGATAATGTCATTTTTCTCAAAGAAAAAAAAATTACTTAAATCATTTAAAGAGCAAACGGAAGTATAAAAATGTTGGAAGACATCCTAGGCATGCATTAGAACGTGGCCTGGAGTCAACAGCAACTCAACTCGTGTCAGTTTTCTCCTTTAAATGAGGAGTCTTTGGGATACCAATCATTAGAGACAAGGGAGATTTATTTATTACGGAGGATGTATTTCTAATCATACGACACACACCATCCCTCATATGGATGTTTTATTTGATCGTGCTGACTTGTGCTCTGTATTTATTGAGAAAATAGTCTTCATGGTAAAACCAGCTGGCTGAGTAGGTTGAAGAAGCAGAGAGAAGAAAAACCACAAACCAAAGACCTACAGACTCAGGAACTAAAGTCAGAAGCCTTCTGTTGAATTGGCAGGTATTTCTCTGGCTTACCCTCTTAAAACTGCGCTGGTGCCTGATGATTATTAAACAAGTCAATACTTGACACAAAATCAAGTTTCCTGAGGGC